TCGGCCCGAATAACACTATGTTTTGTCCTTACAATAGTGGAGAAAACCTTCCCTGATTCATTTTTATACCTAAATTTCACATTTCATAACTCCTGCTAGAAGCAACTTGGGCCCGAACTAACTTAGGGTATATCACTCCTAGCTATGCCCTATCTAACCATCATATCCCCGACTGAAAAGCTTTTTGACACCTCGGATGGTTCCCTCGTAAGACAACAAGCAAATTAAAAACAAAAATTAGTTTATTATTTTTCTGTCTATGTAACATATACAAGTGCTTTGATTGGCATATAATGTATCTTTATGTTTCAACTTCGTTTTAAATAATAAGAGAGACTAAATAAAATAAAAGAAAAAATTCTTGTGTGTTTTTCTCAAAATTGATTTTTTTGTCGGTAATGATTCAAGTGCTGACAAACAAGAGAAAGGAATTTTCTATTTAATTGTTAATGATGTTTGTTCAAAAAATTCATGTCGACAAATTCTAGATTTTTGAAGTTCCAAAAAATGAAACTGGGTAAATATTAAAAAATTCTTTTTCAAATGAAAGTCATTCGATCGCTGCAGCTTGGTCTCTGAAAGTTTAATTAACAGTAAAGAATGAAAGCATAGAATTTTTGTTTATTAGGGTACTTCCCATGAATCAAATACCTATGCTAAATTTCATCAATGCCTCATGTATTCTGCCGAATTTAGATTTTTGAGTGGGAGATGGGCTTGAGTATCAAAGTTTTTTTGCTATTATTGTCAAAACTGATTAGTATAACGTACATTATACCGAACGATTTACTTCATGTTTTTGGTCACGTTAAAATCACATAAATAGCCACACTCATAGCTTTTCTTTGCATAAAAAGATATTCATTTTTTCAGTTATGTACATATCTTTAAAGTTCTTTGAATTAACAATTTTTGGACGATGAATATGTCTCATTGATAATATATTCAATATAACTCAAACTTGAACATTCATAATTGTCATCATACATAGGCGTCCTCTATCGAGATGATAATTACTTCCGACTAAACGACAAAGCATAAAAGAAAAATCAAAAAATTTCTATAAATTCTTTTCAAATAAAATTTCTAGTATTCAAATTTTAAAGGTATTTTTTTCTGTTGACTATTTATGAATCAATGATCCACAATCATCTATTAGTGCTTTGGTGACACGGATGGCGTAAGCTTGACAACATGATGTTGGTAAAAATTGGAAGAAGAGAAATACTTTTACTTTTAAATGACACGACCTCAATGGCATTGAAAGTTCATTTTTTTATGGCATATCATTTCTAGAAGATTCTCGAAATAAGTCATTTTCTATTCGTTATTTTTTCAAATCAAATTCATATATAATAGTAAGAAATTTTATTTGAAATATTATTAAAAATTTTTTCTTAAAAATCTCTAACAATTTCTATTTCGTAAGTACATATGATTGTAATTTTTAACCTTCATTCTCTATTTATATAATACCATTTATTTTCAATAAATTAAAAATGTCTTTCATTTTCTTGACAATAAGGTTTTGTCAAATATTCGTTTTTGATTCATTGAATTGATTTTGCATAAAGAAAAAAATAACATGAAAAGAAATATAAAACTTTTTTTCCTGGTTATCCTTGGTGCTTTCGTTTTTTTCCTGTTCTTGTCGAGCATGTGCATTATTTTGTACACACAGGTATTTATCATACGAGGTTGATATCTTACAACGACGGAATATGAAACCATTCTCTTTCGGTTACATTTTTATTTTTTCTTTCTTTCTTTTATAATTGTTCTCGTTTTTTCTTCGAACCAAATATTCAAATAACGTTCTGCATGAATGAGTGAGTTGTAATTTGAATCAGAAATAAACGAATCACTTTTTTCACGATACACATTGTTAGTACATTATTTCTTTACTTTTTCGTTTGCTTATATAATCATTCATTATGTATTTTTATTTGAAAACAGGATACTTATTATTCTATTAATATCTTCCGTTTGTCTTAAAGAATCATATCACACATCTGGTTGTTTTTTTTTTTTGCTTATATAATGAATATTTTAAAAGCGAGAAAAAAATAATTCTTTTAGATAAGCAACAAAATGCTACGTCGACGATTATTTTTTCTCTACTTATTTATCTTATTTACTGGTATTTTTGCTCAGAAATATGGTTCGAATGTTCAAAAAGATGATGATGAAAATGATGATGAAGATGATCGTCAATCAGTAAATCGAGTACAGCCACCAGTTAATAGCAATAAATATGACAGTAAACGTCCTTCAAACGATAGAGTTGTTAATGATAATCAACAACCAGCTGCTGCTAATCCATCGCCAGTACGTTCACCAAATGAATCATCTCGACGTTCATCACCGACACCACTTGCTACTAGTGATGAATGTAGACTTGATGTGCAAAAATATTGTAATAAAGGAAATAAACAAATAATTCCAAATTTAAAAGTATTACAATGTATTGATGATCTTGATAATGTAAGTTTTGGGTTTTTTTTTTTGTTATATAGAAGTCAATTATCTATATATATTTTTTCTAACTATATAGGCTGTGACTTTAATTAGTAAAGAATGTCAACATGTAAGTAGAAAAATTGTTTTGTTTTTACTATACTAAATTAATAAATTTTATTTTAGCTTATCTACAGTTTTAAATATAATATGACACATGATCCACGTTTTGATGATGCAGCATCGAAACAATGTGCAAAAGATTTAAAATTATTTGATGAATGTGAACCATTTATTGGTAAAAGTGGTTCTGGTCGTCTTGTAACATGTTTATATGAGCATTTACCTAATATAACTGATTCAACTTGTCGTTATTTTATTAATCAAGTGCAAGTTGTTGTTTTCAATGATTGGCGTTTATCAGAATATTTTGTTGAAGCATGTAAATCTGATATTGAAAAATTAGAATGTGGTCGATTAGATGATGATAATAAAGATGTATGTATTTAATGAATAAAATAATAAAAATCTATAAAAAAAAAAAAAAATTTTTTTTTTGTATGTTTTAGTTACCGCATGAACAAGGTGCTGTTATTTCATGTTTATCACAAAAATATAATCTACTTGTTCCGCAATGTCGTAAAGAAATTTTTCGCTTAGCTGAAATGCAATCGGATGATTATCATCTTGATCGTGCTTTATTTTATGCATGTCGTGATGATCGAGAACGTTTATGTGGTCAAGTTTCAAGTGGTAATGGTCGAGTTTATCGTTGTCTTTATGAGCAAAAGTTTAATAGCATGATGTCATCAGCTGTAAGTTATTAAGATTATTTTTTCATAAAATAAAATCTTTTCATCTATAAACTTTCATAGTAGATAGAATATTTAATTGGTTAGTTTTTCTTATTCTGAACATCTATTTATAGTTCCATGAATAATAACTATAATTGGCGAGCAGAAAGAGAGAAAAAAAAAAGTATGTTATCATAAGTAATTCTAGGATACATAGGAAAAGAGAACAAAAACAATCGTGCATATTTAAAAGTAACACTAGACGACAGCAAGAATCCTTGGTGTAATATATCGTAATTTTTATTTTAACAACTAGTGACATCAAGTCATGTCAATACGTATTGATTTACCTCTGGTTAAGAAAAAAAAACATTGTTGGAAAGAAGAAAAAAAAATCACCTTGAGCAACTAACATGCGATTGCAACTGAATATGAAAATGAAAAAATGTTCGAATAATGAACCCTTTTAGTCATTTCTGATGGTGCCCATATTCGAGAGGTTTTACTGTGGATCTATTCTTATTTGGAAACTACCTATAGGATTAAACCGATGTTTTATTTAGATTTTGTCTTCCGGAAGGACGAACATGTTTTTTTGTTAATGAGCATAGAAACATAGTGTATAGTATAGTAATTATAATATTTGAAGGTACGTTATTCCCCACACTGGATAAGACCTCTTTTTATAATCGAAGAGTCTAGGTCTTCTATTGTATCTCATTAATTTCCAGAATTTTTAATTAAATAGATTTCTCAAAAAACTAAAACTGGTTTCATGATATGAGAAGAGATTTTTAATAGTACAGACATAATTCTGATTTCAGTCGTTTTAGTTCAATATCCTAAAAAGATTAGAAACATTTTAATGTAAATATATCAAGGACGGATTTAGTTTTAAATGACATGTATTTCAGTTGAGTAATACAACTACTATAATGTATATTTCGAATTCTCATTGATAATTTCACTACTTCAATTATTTAATGAACAATATCTTAACAAACATAACATCACCTTCGATTATGTTTGTTGGTTTTAATCAAAGATTTGAAAGTATAATCATTGTATTCATAGTAACTTTTAATTCGAGAACAAGATCTATATTGGTTAGTCGAGAAAGATTTCTTCTATCTAATAGATCAAGTTTTATTGCGTACTACTGAGATATCAATAGAAGGCGCCATTTTCATCGCATTCGATAATAGTCATGATAAAGGTGATGCTTAGAGTTTCTCGAGTTCAACATTTTCGTACACGGTTGAACCATACTTAAACATTGTCAATGGAAATGCATAGTCACCTAGAAGATACGAGATACTTTTCTCCGGTGTTTTTTTTTGTATTCGGTGAATAGTGCATCCTACATATTTCTCACACTACTAGAGCTTATTGCGTTCGAACTCGATGCGCTTTAGTGGCGCCCTCTGTCGAAATTTGAAGAGTACGGAATAAAACTTGATAATCCATATACCATTAGCTAGAGCAAGTCTTTCTTTACTAACTTATATGTATTATACTTGTCGGTCAAAATCTAATAATTGTCTTTATTTGACGCAGGTGTAAGACCAAAAAAAAATGCCCTATATATCCGACTAAAAATACTGATATAAAAAGTTCTATTTTAAAAACTTTGTTAATTAAAATGAAATTTTTCGCTTATTTATTTTAGTGTCGTAAAGAAGTTCATCGACGACAATCATTAGTAGTTGCAGATGTAAACATGGACGCACCATTAATTCGAGGTAAAAAAACCTAACGTTTTGAATGTAAAGAAAATTTCCTTTTTTTTAGCCTGTAATAATGAAATGCGTGAACATAAATGTTCTGTTGATTCTAACGAAAATGATAAAAAATCATCATTAATTAAATTACTTTTATGTCTTGAAGATACATTAAAACGAGGTAGAAATTCATCAATAAATTTCTCATGAAAAACAATTATTTCGATTTTTCTTATTCTTAGGTTATCATATTCAAGATGAATGTCGACGTGAAATGCTTGTTCATCGTCGTATGTTAATGTCAGATTATGCTCTTTCACCAGAACTTCAAAGTGAATGTAAAAATGAAATGGTACAATATTGTCCATCATTATTTCAACAAGGTGCAAGTGGTACAATAGGTCAACGTGGTGGTCGAATGATTCATTGTTTATTAGCTGCAGCACGAAAAGAAAAAAGTTTTAGTAGTCGATGTTTATCAGTTGTTAATTCATTAGTACGTGCAGTTGATCCCGGTAGTGATATACGAGCAGATCCATTACTTGAATCAGCATGTCGACCTGTTATTGATACATTATGTCCAAGAATGAAACCTGGTGATTCAAATGTTATTTTATGTTTATTGGATAATTTAAAAAATGCTCGTATGACAGAAGATTGTGAGGATCGTCTTATGGAAGTAGCTTACTTTTTAGCACGAGATTGGAGGTAATAAAAAAAAAAGCAGAAAAACAAATAAAAATTTGATTTTATTTACAAATTTTTTTTCTTTTTCATTTAATAGATTAACACCAAGATTATTACGTACATGTCAAACAAATCTTGTAACATTTTGTCAACTTCCAAAAGATTGGTCAATGAATCAAGATATCAGTGGTGTTCAAGTTGGAATGTATTTAGGTTGTTTATATCAACAACGACAACAAGTATTTCAAAAAAAATTTTTTTTTTTGTTTTTTAAATTATATTTCATCGTTTATTATTTAGCTTGATAAAGAATGTCGAAGTGAATTAAAACGTATTATGCATATTCGAACACAATCTATTGGTTTAATGCCTGAAATTGAAGATAATTGTTTAACAGATTTGGCAATATGTAAAAATCCAGAAATTAAAGGAGAAGTAAGAAAAAACTTAAAATATATAGTAAAATTCCCGACAATGTTCACATTGTCGGGATCGACGTAAAGCGATTATATTAGAGAGAGAGAGACAAGCAAAAATAAATTTTATTATCTTCGATTAGTTCATATTGTACTAAATCATGATAGTTACTTTGACAGCACGAATCGTATATTTTATTCAAGTGGCGTCCTTTATTGACGTTCACATTCAGNTTACTTGAAATTTACGGATCTTTGAAAAAGATATTTTAGGAATGATGTATAACGAGGAACTATTGTCATATTTATTCTGTGCTTAATAATTCGTTAAAATGAATGAGTATCACATTAAAATAAGTTCATTGGTCTAATAAATGGATTGCATTGGTTAAAACATGCTTATTAATCTATTTTCTGTTCGCAATACAATATCAATGTGAAAGAAAGAGCTAGTGATAATTAGTTGTTCAAATATAGAGACCAGGGGTCCTAATGGGCTGGGCCAAGCCCAGCCCAGCCAATGGGCCGAAATTTTTTTAACAGAAAACCATGGGCTGGGCTTGGTCCAACCGAGCCCACCCCAGCCCAGCCCAGCCCATGGGCCGAAATTTTTCTAACAGAAAATCATGAGCTGGGCTGGGTCGTCCGATTTTTTTATGGGTGCCCATGGGCCATATTTTAAATAAAAAATAAAAATTTTCAAAAGATGTCGCGTATTATCACTGAAATTGCTTTTTTGATAAATCGAGTTTAATACTTTTATTTGCTACAATAGTGTGTGTGGATGTGTGGTGTGGGCGTGTGTGGATGTGGGTGTGTGGTGTGGGTGTGTGTGAATATGGGTGCGGGTTAGACATCGGCGTGACAAACATTTTTTGGTCACGGTCACGTCATGGTCACAATCACGATCGTTGCCACGTGACCGTGAGTGTGAGTCACCGTATCTACGCCAGTCTCTATACGAACGACTATTTTCTTTTTTCTCAAAATAGCATACCCTTCTCTTCCGATACGAGGTCCCTATATTAGAAGGCTTTCCATAATAGAAGACCTCCTTGGAGAAATACGTACGACACTTAGTATAAGATCTTATTCAATATCGAATTTTTCGAAAAATGACAACTTCAATCACTGGATTTATATCATAATATGCTTAGTTTTCAGAGTTTTCAGCTGAAAAAATTAACTAAGTGTTTTCAACATTTTATCTAGACTTTTAAAATCCGAAAAATTCCTTCTCAAAGCATCAAAATCGCTTTGACTTTCTGAACAATTTTTTTAGTTGCAATCTGTAAAAAGAAAAGAGACATTACCCAAGAGCCTCTGGAAAATGTTTAGGATTAGACACAATAGAAAACCTCGGATCTCCTCGTGCGGAGAGGCAAAAGGTAATATAACAGATAAACGAAAAAGATTAGGTATGAAAAAAATTGATGAATTTGTTTTTTGAGAAAATTTCTTAAAGTTCTTGAAAGTGTATTTGGCCAAAACCTGAATAGAAATGGGCGAAATCAGAACAAGTAGAGAAATGATCAATCGTCGAATAAGTCATCAGATAAAAGTCAAAAAAGTCGAAAATATATGAAAATGACAAATCTTGTTCAAGGAGGTCATAATATTTTTCAATGGTACACTTTTTTCTAAAATGTTTCTATGCGAACAGTTTAAAATATATTAATACTGAGTATATTTTTTCTGGTATCGCGATTGTATTGATTCTATTCCTTCGTTTTAAGTTAGCATAATTAGAAAAGGATATTGATACATATTGAAAGAATACTAAATATAATATTTAATTCTCTAATAAAGTTTGAAAATAACTGCTTTATAGTTACATTGAAAATTTATCGTGACTGGTCATGACCAGGTTTTGGTCACGGTCACGTCACGGTCACGACTTTTTCTCGAAAAATGGTCACGATCGTGTCTCACGCCCGTGACCGTGACTCGCGGTAGTCACGGCGGTCACGCCGATGTCTAGTCGTAACATACTAAACTGAATTCTACTAATTCATAGTCATAATTATTTCAAACAGTTGGTATACATGTCTCTTCAACGAATAGGAATTTTTAAAATTAAATAAATCTTCTATGTGTATATATGTGACAACTCACATATCAATAATTCACTTGAGCTTAATCGAACTACTGATAATCAGATCTTTTCTATATGAATAGAATTTTTTATGTGAGCTAGCCTATTGAGTCAATTTTATATTCCGATTGAAATCTATCATATTCAAAATGTGAAATAGTTTTTTAATGGTTACATTTTGTTGTACAAAATATGCCAAACTTTACAACTTTTGTATTTTTACAAGTGATTTTATTTGATCAATCCCAATTTTCATAGGGACTAATATTTTAGTAAAAACACATATATGCAGAAGCAAAAATCTGAACATACTCGAAAATAACAAAAAAAAATTCTAATTCTGAATCTAAACAGTTGTCTTTTAGTGACCGAAAAAAATGAGCGAATATATTGTGCGAAGACTTTGGCATCGTAGATCTTTGTATAGAGTTCTTTAACATATTCAAGATAGGATTTCTACAAGAATCATATTCGTCATTAATGTGATCATACTATGGAATCCATTCATTTAAAAATGGTTTCATCAGTTAAAATATTTTCTCGTATACTTAGAACTTCATTGATTTAGAAAAATAAATCGAAATTTTATTTTTAGGAATTAAAATGTTTACAAAAGAAATATAAAAGCCTTGAAGATCAATGTAAACAGGCTGTTCGAAACTATACACAAATGACAATGTCTGATCCAACACTTGATTTTCTTCTTATGAAAGCATGTGAACCAATGATTCAATTATTCTGTGCAGTAAATAAAAACGAAAAATTTTCATCAACTTTTTTTTTTATCTTTCTATATAAATAAAATTCTTTTCTAGAATGTTGAAGTTGGAAATGAAAATTATTTAATACGTTTTTTAATTAAACATAAAAATGAACAACAAATGGATTTTCGTTGTAAAGCTAGTATTGATCATCATCAAATAGTATGTTAGAAAAAAAATCATATTAATAATTTATTTCTTTAATTAATAGACAAGTATGAAAGATGAAGCATTTTTAAGTCAACAATTTCGAAAAAAATGTACTCAAGAAATAAATGAACATTGTTTTGGAAAAAAAACAAAGTAAAAGAATTATTTTATATTTGAAAAATAAATTGTTTGTTTGTATTTCGTATTTTAGAGCAGGTGTTATTCAATGTCTTGCTGATTTAATGTTACGTGATGTATTAAAAAAAGAAAATAAAATAACTGAAGATTGTCGTGATGAACTTAAATTTGAACTTCTTCAACGAGTTTGTTTTATTAATCTTATTTTTTATAATTAACAAAAAAAAAGAAATTTTCAAAATTTATTTAGAGTGAAAGTATCGATTTTGATCCATCATTAGCTAAAGCATGTCAAAAGGATATTCACCGGTTCTGTGGTGATCGTACACCGGGAAATGCTCAGGTAGAAATTTTTTTGTTTTTTTTAAATAAATTTTTATATTGATCTATGAAAATAAATTAGATTCTCGATTGTCTAAAAGATAATCAAAATAAAATATCACCATCATGTTATGCTAAATTAAGAAAACGTGAAAAACTTGATGTTATCTTACCTGAAAATGATTATAGTCTTATGTCAAAATGTGCAACAATTATTCAGGTATGTTATTTAAATAGAATTATGAAAAAAAAGAATATTTATATAATAAAATTTTAAAAAAATAGAAATATTGTTCAAATGAAAAGAAACAAAATATTTTATCTTGTTTACGACGTAATATTAATCAAGATGCTATGCCAACTATATGTCGACGAGTTTTATATAATCGTTTAATGGTTCTTAATAGTGGTAAGAGATAAAAACAAACTAATTTATTTTAGCTTTTAACTATTCACAATGATTAGTAAATTGTACATAGAAACAAAATAATCTTGTGTTACATGCGAACAATATTATTTTCTCGCATTTTTTAGAGATTAAAAAAAAATCCGATACCTTAATTCAGCATATGAGTTTGTTATATTTGTACCCATTCAATAGCGCAATGAACTCAAAAATATAAAAAATTGATAGTTAAGATGATATTTATGTTTAATGAGTTTTGACTTCTCGATAGACTAGAACTAATTCGTTATTAGCGAATTTCTCGCCACACATTTTAACCGATGAAAAAAGTTCTAAAATGGATCCAGGTTAGGAGATATTTTCATTGTGTGTTAATGCATGTTAAAATTCAAAAATTTTGCTGAAAAAAGCATCATTTCTTTAAGTTCGATATCAAATAAAAGCGATCGATTTTAATCACGTAGAAAGTGTGTTTTTGCAAAACTTCTCATGAGGTTATGATATGAAACATAATCAAATGGTTTTTAGTCTTACGAGAGATTTCATCACTTTTGAGTCGAGACTGTGTATCATGTAGATACTGATGAGTTATAAATAGCCTGAAAACAGTTCGCCCTCTTTGATTATTATTGCAGAGATAATGTATTTTTTTTAAATCAATGCCACCAGTCTACTTCGGAATTTCAACTTTTCATAAATACAAACCTTAAGGAGAATAGTTTATTATGAAAATTGCTTCTATCTTGAGATATATCAATGGTAAAAGTATGTTTTTAATATTGTTCAGGAACATTGCCACATTCAATGTTCTTATTTCAGGATAAGAATAAATAAAAAAACTGAAAATTTTTCAAATAATCTATTCTTCTTGAGATGTATATTTGTGTAAAGTTTTAAGTTGAAATTCCGAAGTAGACTGACGGTATGGATTTAAAAAACACATTATCTCTGCACTAATAATCAAAGAATTTCGAACTTTTTTCAGTCTATTTATAACTCATTAGTGTCTACATGATGCACATTATCTTGATTCAAAAGCGAGTAATCAGCTGGAAGACTTCCTTTTTTAGACATAAAGATTGCATTAATATTTGAGATACAGTATATTGAACGCAAAAAGTATGTTAAGGGGACCCCCCATTTCCCGACCCAAAAAGTTTTTTTTTCATATAGAGGTGTATCAAGGTCCCCTCTATGTGTGCTATAAAAATTAGAACCATCCAAGGTCGGAAAGTCTGTGAAAACCCAGGTTTTTTGGAGACATGTGCAACAAAAAAAAATTTTTTTTTTCAACATGAAGTTATATTATGATATGGTATACCTATACTTATGTATAAGCGGAAAAAAGAAATTTTTCTACAAGTTTTTTTTTATTTTGCATTTTTCTCGAAACTAGTTTTTTGGGTATCAAAAACCAGTTTTCTCCCTTTTTCTTCGCCATTTCAAGTCCGATTGGGCTGAAACTTTTTTTGGTGAGACTTCAAGTGATTTGGGTTGGGAGTTTTGTATTTTTTTTGGATACCTTCTAACAATCAAGTTTAGCAGGCTTCGCAAAATTTGTAGGATCCAAAAAACCTAGAGATTTTGCGAAGTGCTCAGTATTTTGGTTCTCCAGCCTGAAGTATTTGGAATTTTTGAAAAAAAAAAAAACACCCACCCCGATTGGGTCCGTCTACCCACAGTAAAAATTTCAGCTGAAACGGATGAAATCTGTGGATTTGCGGTGGGGGGAACTTTTTGCAAGTTTTTGATCTTGAGATCTCTGGAAGTCCATAAAGATTACGTCTGGCAAATTTGTGTCTATGACAACTTTTGCTCTACTACTTGAGGTCTATCTACCCTGAAAGTTTCAAGAATTTTCGTTCGACCATTTCTTAGAAACGCCGGAAAGGGGCGGTCCCCTTAAATAGCGAGGGGTTATAAATTACTAAAACAGAAGACAAAAATAAGGAGATTATGACTTTTATTCTGTTCAAGTTAAATACATTAATCATACAGTTGAAGTTTTCTAGAAATAATTTGATCAAACTTTAAAAATTTTCTTTTTGTTTTCTAAATTTAGATGCTCGTTTCAATCAAGGTTTAATTGATAGTTGTCAACGAGATATTAATAAATACTGTCAATCAGAAATAGTTGATAATGAAAAAGATGATAATGAATCCGATGAAGATAAAGATGACAACGGTGGTAAATTCATTTTTTTTTTGTTCTATTTATTATTTTAATTGAAATATTCTTTTTAGATGATGATAAAGAAAAAAATGATGGTAAAGATAATAATAATAATAATAATAATAATGGTGATGATGAAGTAGCCGATCGTGGAATGGGTGGTAGAATAATTCAATGTTTACGTTCAAAATATACCGATACATCAATTACATTAGAATCACAATGTGTATCTGAATTAGTTGATGTTATACAAACATCAAAAATTGATATTAAACTTGATATTAAACTTTATGAAAGTTGTCGAAAATTACTTAAGAGTGAATGTATTGGTATGGATCAAGAAGATTGTTTAAAATTACTTTATCAAAAAGATCAAATTAATGATGATGTTTGTAAAGAACAAGTTAAACGTATTATAAGAGAAGGACAAGCTGATATACATGTTGATCGTGCTTTAGCATTTGCATGTCAAGCTGATGTTTTGAAATATTGTAATGATATTCCTATAGGTAAAAAAATAAAAACTAAGATTAAAGAAAAAAATTTAAAAAGAAATTATTTATTTAGGAAGTGGAAAACAGTTACAATGTTTATTAAGCATGGGTAAATCAGTAACAAGTCAATGTCAAAATATATTACTAAAACGACAAGAATTATGGAAATCTGTAAGTTTTTTGTTTTTTTCTTGATATATTCAAATAGAAAATTTTCATAATTAGATAAGTAAGTTTACAACAAAAAACAGGTTTATTATGTTCGATTGAGAGATTTTTCACAGAATTCGAAAGTTAGGAATAATGTTCCTCCCACTCTTAGTGTATCATTAGACATGAAATGACTGTGGACAATGTACTAACTGCTATTTACTTGAAACTACCCATCCGATAGCATATTGATGACATTGCGATATACGCCTGCTCTTGTGATTAGTTTGTGTGCATAGAGAGCGCAAGAACTTTACATCAAGGAGACTTTATGTTCAGAGCTACAACTTGTCATAGTTATAGGAAAGATATTGAACTATTGAATCTGCCTCTAGGCAGCATTCAACTGAGAGATAGGAATGTTCTTTCTTATCCCAATAATTAGATATTATTCGATATTACATAGTAAAACTAGAAAGATTTGTTGAAAAATAAATTTTATTCACAATCGTCAGCGAAAAAATACCTCATTTGAGAGTTTTTTTTTTTATAGATAGCATATATATTTGAAAGCACTTCTACTGTTAACATCCTTCCTCTGATAAACAGAGAGCATTGCTTTGAATATTTGAAGTATATAAACGATCATCTCAAAGAATTTATGTTTTTATCAACGAAACAAACATTTAAATATTTTAAGCGATTAATCATAAATAAGAAAATTATTAACAATAATCAAAAATTAAAAATTTTAAAAATTAAAAATACAGATTTAGATCAATTGATATATCCAAATCAGTCATTATTCTTTCTTTTTAAAAATCTTTATTTCAAAGAATTTTTTCATACGTTCAATTTAGTTCTATGGACATTTAATTCATTCAATAAATCCAAATAGTCTCAACTAAAAGTTTTCATATTTAATTAACCTAAGTAGAACAAATATATATGTATAATCCAAGATAAATCTAAGAGAAAATTTTCAGATCTTTATCTGATCGAGTCCGAGTTCGAGACCCATCCCATAACCAATGAAGCTAAAGAAAAAATTCGACAGCTTTTAGTTAACCTACTTATTTCTCAAATAATTAGAGCTCATTAGGTTCTAAATTGTTGACCTTAGACCACCAATGCGATAGACTCTTCCTACCATATCCTATGATACCTAAATCTAAAATAGATTGCAGTCTATCAAAGCTTTGTACCTTCGCTACATATTTGTGTAGTACCGAGCATGGTTATTAATAGTTTGAAGGAGCTAAAAATTCAGTAGAAAGCACTTTTATTCTCACAGTGCTAGATGTGATGCCCGGGAGAAGAACGAAGCGTACCGTAGCCCAGTTCCTATCATTAGTTAGTCCCTTTTTCAATCCTATGAACCTCATAACAACATTGTCTGCTTATTGTTATTTTACTTTCTGTGAGAGAAAGGCAAATAGTATTGCAAATCTGATTGCTGTTCAAAATTACCACGAAAGCTATAAAAAAAAAAACACTGGCAAAAAGTCGGACATTATAGAAGGAGAGAGGGCGGGCAGTCTCTCTCGATCCTCTTCATTGAGAATCCTAATAACAAATCATTGAAAAAGAAAACAGACTAATCATCAACATTAATTTTATTAAAATTTGATTTAGTTTTCGAAGACTTCTTACGAGATTCATTTGTATGAATAAAACATTTGAATATTGAATTCTATTCATATTTTAGGTATCTAAGTTGAATGGTGTTGCTGACTTAACGGAACAAATCCGAAAGTCAAATAATAGTTTTTATCTATTCTCTGTTATTCTTTTAATATTGTGTGTTATGTTTATGGCTGGTTGTATTTGTCGTCCGTATGTACGTTATAGTCGTGTCAGGAAATATAAATGAGCAAAAAAAATTAATTCATCAGTGACAATTTAAAAATATATAAACTAAAAAAAAAATCAAGCCAGAATTTTTATTCATTTTCAATTTTAATGAATCTCTTTCTTGTTCTTGTTCTTCTTTTCTTTTTTTCTTTGTCTCTTCTACATTCCAAAATATTGTAACAACGAAGAAGTAATGCTTATAAGAATAAATAAAATTTATTTCAATATCTTTTCATCGCTTATTAAGATTCGTTTTTAGTTTTTTTTTTCTTTTTTCTTTCTTCGAATTAGCTCTTCTTCGCTGTGATAATATTTGTTTTTAATTTTCTTTTTGTGTTTCAATCATTCTTAGAAACAATTTCTATTTATATGTTTTGTGTTCGTTTTGTGTTCTACCAACATTTATTAAAATAATTCTGTGCCAATAAATAAATAAATAAATAAATAAAAAAAAAAAACAACAGCAACATGATTTACAATAAACTTTGCATTTCTTTTTGATTATCTTCAACTTCATTATCATCTAAATCAATTTCATCAAAACAATGATTACTGATCGTACTAATTTTTGTTATAGAAAATGATGTTCTTGTTGGCCATTCTAATGAACAATTAAGAAAAAAAAAAATTTTAACTAAATAAATTAAATATTTTACCTGTTTGTTCATCATCAGAATCACCATCATGATCACTTTCACCACATGTTACATTACTACTATCGCATTGATCATCACCTTCGAAACAACCACATGAATCAGCTTGAGTATCAGCACAATATATAACTTCATCTTGACTTTGAGGATCTATTCAATGAATGGAAAAACAATAAAAAAACAATAAAAATCACTTATGATGCATTTATTAGAAAAAGAAAAAAATTTTGAACTAACATTCATCATCCGTTAGCATATAATGATCTCCTATATGTTCTCTTGAATTTTGAAAACATTGATAATTTTCTTGTTGAGGTATTACAACAGATGTAAGTGTTTGTCGAATACCAATAGGTACATCTTGACTTCGAATAATATCGCAAACTATATATAATAAGAGAGAAAGAGAATATTGAAATAGATGAGATTTTTTTGTTTTTTTTTCTTCTTAATTTATAACATACCAACAGTATCACAGAGACCAATACGTTCTAATTGACGATAAACAAGTAAATGACTATTATTTAATGCAAACCATTGATTATTATGTGCACATATTTGTAATTTTGGTGGAGATATACTTTCGATTAATTTTGTTGATACATCAATCATTAATTTTTCATCAATGATAGAATGTTTTAAATCACCTAAACTTGAATCAGTAAAATTAATACTTGATGGTGCAATTGATAATGTACGAGAATGACAAGAATTTGTTGAAGATTTCCAAAATGTTTTCCATGATGAAAAATAACTTTTTACGTTTTGCATTTATCGATATAAACAATCTAAAAATGTAATAAGAATCTTGGCTTATATTCTATATCGATGATTGTGTAATATTCTTATATCTATATCTATATATATATACAATCTCAATCATAAATAGTGTTACTATAATGCCAGTTGTCAGTATGACTTTATTGTCAAATTGAGTGTGAAATTAGCGATTCAACGAGTGTAGAATGAGATACTATTCGTAATTGATAATGAAGAGATGGAAGTTACATATCTTTTTGTAGATTTTTCTTCTCCAATCATCGCCAATCATTACATGAGTATATATATATATTGTCTTCTATTCTTAATTGTCTTATTCATTAAGAGTATGAATAAACTTACGAAACATAAATTGTTGTCTATCAGAGTTTTTACTCAAAACTCCGTAATCAAATGAGTTGTATTGATAATTTTACTTGTCTATCGAATGCATGTATGTCATATAAATGGAAGAAACTCTATTTCATTCTCATCATTGGCACTATCACTATTATAGTGTGTCGACAATACACAAGAGAAAACGCTTAGAACAAGCAATATTTCTCTTCTTTTTTTTTTTTTCTATTTTTTATTCGCTCTTTACCAATTGAATATAAATATTTGGGAGCTCGGCAGACTAAGACACGATAATGATGATTATATTGTGTTAGAAACTCGAATAATCTGATAATAAATGCCTATACTAGACCTAGATTCCTGTTTTAGATCACGCATTTGTATATATATGATCGAAGATAGTGACAAATGAGAGATGCTTGTGACAGATATACAACTGATGTCAATAAGTTAAGAATAATTGGCTTCGTGGTTGTGTCTAGAAACTATTTGTCCTTATTTTATATAGTGATCGATTGATAATAATAGAAATCTTTCATTGCAATATATAGTCATACGGATTTGTCTAATCAATAGCAATTGATTTTAGTATATTAACAACATAATGATAATTACGAATTATTCAGATATATTTTTTTTTATAATTAGAATTTTTTTAAAAATCAGTTAATTTTATTCGTATGCTAAATAATGTACATTTACTAATAGACATTTTTTAATAATTTCTCGTTTATATTTGATCACTATTGACAAGTATTAGGTCACACACATTCTGATGTTAGATGCACTATGTGTAAGCTCATAATCAAATTTATTTTTGTTTTGAAAAGTTCGTCTACATATTTGTTTTTCTTTTTTTGGTTATGGTTATTCCACAAGGAAGTTGATGATGAAAGGAGAAAAAGATGATAAATAGATATTATTAATTGAACTCGCCATAGAAAGAACATCGACAAAAAAATGATAGAATTCATATGGATGGAGATTTTTTTGTGTCCTTAGATAGTGAAGTACAACACATGTGAAAAGGCAATGATTATGTGCATGAAAGACTATATAAGACTTTTTTCTCTCGAATGAAAATATTAATAATGTAATTCAATGATGTTCTTTTTTTCTCTGTGGACAAGCATCTACATCTAAAATGACATAGAAGATTATGAGTACAGAAAACAGTGTATGACTAATTCATATGAATAGATTAATTATCAAAAGACAAAAAAAAAAGCATAAGTTAATGAAAATAGAAAATTGTGTAATATAGTGGAAAAAAAATAAATAGATTCCAATTTTGTTGATTTCAAATGTGCTAAGATTTCAACAAGTTTCTATTTACTTTTTAAAACTTTACTCTTGTGTCTTTAAATATATAATACTAAATGCTACTACTAATACTATAGCAGGGATATTAGAATTTAATGAAGTTCAAGGAGAATATTTTTCTTGATCACAATGAAAGTCCGGAGTAGTTTTTATAAAAAAAAAGATATTCTCGTAGAATAATCTTTATAGAAAAAAAAAACTCCTATGAAATCTGTAGTTTAAAATATTGATAAAGTAATGCTTCCTCTAACTCATATATAGGAGAAAAGTTATCAATCTTATTCTAGTAAAAAATTATTAACCATTAATGATTTAATCGTTAAATATGAATTTATGAACTAGGTGTGACTCAAGCAATCAGAACGCATTAAAAATATATTTTGGAATTATTAATTGACCAATTTGATATAATCGATATTGTATATAAATAATTCTGTCTAAAGAAAATTAGTTAAAGATCAATATAGATGTCGTAGATAAAAACCTGTCAGAATAGAATGTTTTTGTGAAAAGCAGTTAGCAAAATTAATACATTTTTAAAAAAAGACATCAAAATCAAATAAAAGTATACTTTCAATTGCAATATTTATTATTCATCTAAAATTCTTTCGAAAATATTTTAAAAATTTTTCATTTTTCTTTGATAAAATTTGTTGATAGCAAGTTTAATTTTTTTTATCAAAATTATCAAACAGAATTATTATTGAAATATGACATAATCATCTTTGAGAAACTTAACAAATATAAATGATTGTAATGTAATATTTCATCCTGAAGATTTGTAAAAATCTAAGAATGAAAAAGAAAATGAATATTTATTGAAGTCATTCCCATTAACTGATTTATAATGATTACAACAAACTGGCTGGATTAGATCAATTCAAAAATTTTCATTCGGTTATAATTCTTCTCTAAAGACAAATTCATGAGAATATTTATTATAACATAATGCGTCTGAACTTCTAAGTAATTCTTTAACATCACATTTCACTGCTATGCATCAAAAAATAGTTTTCTTTTTATCCCTTTCAATATGATTATATATAATCTTTTGTGTTCGATAAAAATCAAACAAGTACATGTAAACACTTCAATACTCATTTGAGATCAACATGCAATTTTCCAATTAAATAAAATACGTCTGTTTAGTAAGTGTCAGAGTCATCATACTATTTCCATAACAGAAATATCTTTTTCACTCCTGTCTTTTTAATAAGTCATAGAGTTTAATTCTCGAACTTTGAACCCAATAATATACACAAACTTTATCCAATGTCATATAAACAAACAAAATAAAAAATCTGACCTTGATTTTTAGTCAGTTAACAAATTATTACTTCTCATATAGAATATTATTGATTGTCTTATTTATTAAATACATTATTCGATAGATAAAAAAGAAAAAAAAAAACAAAATATAACCTATAATGAGGAAACAATTTATATTTGTGAACAAACATTCATTGTCATTGCTTATTGTGAATTTTCCAATTGTTATTTACACATATCTTAATTACTTTGTAGTAGTAGATTTATGACTCTTTTCTTGTGTTTATTGATGTGTTTTTATGATTCTATATATAGGCTTTTTTACCATTAGAAAACATTAACATTCACGTTTTATTACATTCATTCTACTGCGAACAAAAAAATAAGACATGCTTGATTTCATTCTATTCTTTATCTTAAATGAAGCTTGATATTACAAATAAAATTAATTTTATTATCGAATACAAATAATGAGAGCAGAAAAAAAAATTATATTTTCATATAAATCTTCTTGTCTGTTTATTTATTTTCTTCGTTCATGTTAATTTATTTATTGATTCTATTTTGATATTGTTGATCTCCTATTGATTAAATCATCAAATATGTTGAATAAGAATTTTATAAACTTATGAATATTTTGATGAAGGAAATTTGTTTATCCTACATTTTACCTTACCTACACATGATAATTTAAATAGATAATCATACGATTCATTTGTCCGAGCATGCTTATTTAGCAATAAAACAAAAATAAATATGTTTCTGCAAAGAAATAATTCAGATATATAATTAAATATAGACTGGATCAATGAATTTTATACTATAGATGCATTCTTTTCACCGTAAGAGGTCACCAGTAATCAAAAACAACTTTTTTCATTGGATTGGTTTTGCGTTTTGACAAATTAATCGATTAACCAGAGAAAAAAAAACAGCTGATAATGTCTTTTTATTTCTTATCATGAAAAAGATATTTGTCATTTATTGTAATAATATATTCTTATTTCATCTCATGAAATGATATTAAATTCTGAAACGAATACAGACGAAATATCCGACGAATATATCTTTGAAGGAGAATCGTATGTATATTAAAATTAAAATAAAACAATAATAACAACAATTTGTTTAATTATTTTGAATAATTCTTCTTTGTTTTTTTTTTTTTTTAAATTTAGATTTAGATGTCGATTAAGTTTTTATGGGCGAGGACAAAGTTTGTTTAGTTATCTAATATAAAATAATTTTTTATCTTCAATTTGTTTTACAATATTATTTAGATGCAAGTGCACCAACACTTGTTAATAATAGAACAAATTTGCATAAAGGTGATTTATTTGTTATTAATTTAAATGATGAAGGTACACAAAAACTTGTTATGGAAGTTGATGAAGAACGTTCTGCTACAGCAGCACATCCAGGTAATTAAATAAAACAACAAAAATTCTTATAATGATTCTTTTACTTTCTTTTTTATGTTCAATAGAAATTTTTATTGATGAATCAATCAAAAGAACATTTTCTATGATAAGTTTTATGAGAAATTATCATACTGTACAAAAAGTAGCTGTAAAAGAGGTTAGTTATTCTTATTTTATTCATAATTCACATAGAAAAAGTCAATTTACTAGAAAAATACTTCAATTTTTTTACAATTCATCTCGATTCCATATTAGAAAAGTATAATTTTGTTTTACAATAACTGTAATACATGAATAATACTAATAAATTGTTTTGTTTAAGCTAATCAATAGCCAAACTGTTTGACAAAATCGATTTTTTTTTTGTTTCGTATAGAATTTGTGCATACACGTTTAAATTTACACTCGACTGTGGTTTTTTTTTTGGAGTAGCACTATTGCATATATAGAATAAACATTCATTCATTCGAAGCTGTCAATAAAAAAAAAATTCATTTCAAAATTTGATTATATACACATTTAATATAATGAATTTCAACTTCGTCAGTATGTATATGTATCTCATAAGTATGAAACCACTTCCGTTTGTTTTGCGAGTTAAGAAATTTTTTTTTTATTAAGGGAGGCAGTCAATAATTTAATTTATTCGATTACATCTGATGATTCTTACGCAGGAATATTTTCAACTGTCGGATGCCGTTCGACTATATTTTAGCTATGAGTAGGACTTAATGGAACTGAGAAAACTTTAAATGGGTTTGGATTCATGCATTACTTAGAGAGAGTAATAAGCGTTTTAGTGCATTTTTGGCTTCTGCATTAGTTATTCATGGAAAAGTTATGAGATTTTCAACTGAAATTTTTATCATAAAAAGATCTTATAGCCATCAGAATGTCATCTCAAATGAATATATTTTTTTCTTGAAATGTCAAGTATCCAACGAGTTCTTATTTGTTATAAGACAAACCATAGAATCATGTGGTTGTATACATGTAATATCTTAAGAAAAGTACATTCATTCAAACTAAAATTTTCATCATTTTCTAGTGACCGTTAGATGTTTCTATGGGTTATATTTCAGATGAAAATCTCATGATTGAGTTTTCCATGAATCGCTGACTCAAATGTCGAAAAGACACTAAAACGATTCGCACTATTATTAGATAACGCATGACACTAATTCATTTAGGGTTTTCTTTTAGTTTTACTAAGTGCTACTTAATGCAAAAATATGCAGCCGAGCAGCCTGTAACTGTTGAATTTATTTGTAGAAAACAGTATCAAATGATGATAAATTGAGAATAAAGTTTTGCTTCATTAATAGTTCAAAGTCATAACTCACAAGACAATTACAATAATAGTCTAAGTCATCATTATTGAATTAGAACTTCAACAATCATACTCTTTTTTTCCTCTATGATCGAAATATCAAATCAAAATTGTCAATGTATATACATTTATTTTATTTTCATTTAGAAATTTGCTCTATATCTAGTCGAAATGCAAGTTAAAGAACAATATTTAAGTCGAGGTGATATGTGGCGATTTTCTCGTAAATTAGTGAGTATTTTTGTTTATAAAATTAAAAAAAAGTATTCTAAATAAATATTGATATAAAATAAAGATTAATACAAATGTCTACTTGAAAAAATCATTTGATATATATGGCATGCGGTAAGATTTTTTTTTTCATTATAAAATTTATAGTTAGAAAATTTTATGTAGTGCTATGGTTTATGGTTTATGGGTCGATGCAGCACCATATCGTGTCTCTTCTGGTTATATAACAAAAGATACAAAAGTAAATTTGTTTTTGTTTCGCTGCATACGGAAGTTGATATTAACATGTGTTAGATTGTATTTCGCTCATTGAGTGCTTGTTGTACAATATTTTTACAAATGTCAAAAGAAATGTGGGATTTTGATCATCATGGTGATACATATTATGAAAAAGCTGTTGATGGTTTTCTTGCTGATTTATTTACTCGATGGAAGGTAAAACAAAAAATCAAAGAAAAAGAATATGAAATTAATTCAATAAATAAAAATTCTTTTATTTTAGTTAATGAGTTGTCAACATGATGTAACAATGACTTTATTTTCAAGAGTATTTTATGATGCAAAATCTTTAGAAGATTTTCCACAAAGTTTACGTGAAGATATTAATAAAGATTATCGTGGAAGATTTTATGAAGATTTCTATCGGTAAAATATTTCGTATTTATTCATACGGAATAAACTTAGTATTTGTTTTTGTTTATATGTTTTGATAGATAAGGATCGAACGATAAGATAGATTATAAATTAATCAAACAAAAACTAAATCATATCTATTTTATTCTTTTTCCTTTAAGATAAGATTAAAATGGATTTATGTGAAGAGAAAAAAAAAAATGTCTTTTTTTGTTTTGTTAATTTACTAAATTCATGTAAATATTTTTCTTTTTTCAATTTAATAATTGAAATAGATGAGTAGTTGTTTAACAATTATTTCAAAGACATTATTTTCAATCAAAAGTTAATAAAATCATAAAACACATAGAAATATTGGATAAGCAAAAAAGAAAGATTGAAAAATAAGACGTTGAATTTCTTTTCGTTTATCTTCAGTAACAAACGACGGCATAGTTCTGAAAAAAGAAAAAGATTTGATTACATCGATTTCTTGTTAACCGTGACATTTAGCAAGTGTTTCATTCGTGCTTTTTTGAAGATTCATATTCTCTTGCTATCTATTTCTTTATGAAATTACAAATTATTTGTCTTATTCGAACAACATTCCAACAGATATAACATATTGAAGTTATGCTCGTTATGTAATCTATGTCAAACATGATCGATATAAATTTGTTGAAAAGAAAGAAGCATGCTATTGATCAATTTGTTCATATGCATAAGTCATCTTTGTTAAAATTGATCTGTTCAAATGATAAGATAACAAGAGTTATTCCTTCTCTTTGTCATACAGACTTCTGCAAATTTTGTTTTATCATTGTAAGAAATGAATAATATAAAATCAAATGTTTATTTATCATTTTTTGTTTGGCTATTGTAGTGTTATCTATCAAAATGAACGTTATGATGATTGGTCACCTCGTTTAGCAAAAATTAAAAAAGTACTTGTTAATTACAAGGAAGATCTTCTGACTTATCATAAAAAAAAATTACCTGAAGCTGAAGCTGATAAAATGCCTAATGGCATTATATCATGTGCAGCTGATGGAAATTTTCTAGAAACATTAAATTTATCATCGAGTGGTTTGTATTAAATTTATTTTCGAAAAAAAAAAATAATAATAAAAGAAAACAAAATCTCTTATTAGTGATTGAACGTCATTTTATTGATCAACCATTTGATCGTCTAGGACAAATGTCATTGGTTATAACGCCTGGTGCTGGTGTATTTGAAGTTGAACGTGAATTAACAAATATGACTAAACAACGTGTATTAGATAATGGAATTGGAAGTGATCTTGTGTGTTTAGGTGAACAACCATTATTTGCTGTACCACTTTTTAAATTTTTTAAAGAAAATCCAAATACAGCTGATGATTATCAAATACCACATTGGATGAATTTAAGGTTTCATTAAATATTTTTAATAGGTAATTTCTTATAAATTTTTTTTCTACTTTAGTTATTATCATCGTTCAACTGCACCATCATGTTTTTCAAGTTATATTCCACGTTTACCATTTGATAAAAATCGAATCAAAGGTGGAATGTTAGGTATAATAGAGTTTGTTTTAGTTTATGATTATCTCTAATTTGTTATTCTATTATTAAATAATCTAGATGTTAAAAATATTATGAATTCAATTCCAGAAGATCCATTTACAAAACCACTACATATGTCAATGGAAGAATATGATGATCAAGTATTTCGAATACACACTAAATTGTAAATATTAGATAAGAATACAAATAAAAACAAAAATGAACTATTTGATTTTGTTTAATATAGATTAACAAAAGATAATTGTCCAGATAGATCAAACAAGAATGAAACTCGAATATCTCGAAGACGATATATTACTATGGATCCGATATGTAAGAAGATTTTACAAAGGAGGAGAGAGGGAGAATTGTTAAGCAATGCAATAAGCTCCCTCTTGAAATAGAGTTTATTGTTTTCTCAAGCTAAAAGTTGCCTTTTTCGATTGATATTCGATAGATTTAGGTCAGAATAATCAGACTTTGTGTACCAAAACAAATGATATATTTGAAATCAGTATACAAAACTGAATCGATCTACATATATCACAAAGTTTTCTGACAAATTCTATTTTCATCTGAAAATTTAACCCTGACCTCCTTTCTCAATGTTATGTCGAAAAATGAAGTCGATCAAAATGTCAGTTTGACTGTGGAAAGTTATTACTTATAAGTTCTTAAAAATATAAAATGACGGTTGAAAAAATACTAAAAAAAAGCTGTTTTCATTGACTTTTGTTTTTCAATTTAACCCTGAGCAGGATCAAGGCTACACTTTTGAACAAAAATAAAACTGGTTGAAGGATTTTGTGATATATATAGACATACTCATTTTTTTTTCATTCTAATTTAAAATATATGATTTATTTTGTTAAAAAATCTGATTATTTTGACCAGAACTCATCAAATATCAATGAAAAAGGGTAACTTTTGGCACTCATGGACACTGTGCGTTTGACTAAAATGTCTTCGTCACATATTAATCTCATTACAATAGTTTCATTTTGTAGAGCTGTGAAGAGTCTATTCAATGATAAATGATTGAAATTGAATCGTTACTTTTATAGTGAAGAACTTTTGTCATACTTGTTCTTACATGAACAATGTCATCTGAAAAATGAAATCTAATGGTCGAATTCGAATTGACTGTTCGGGAAAATAATGAACTCAACTTTAGGAAGTAGTTAATTTCATCGTTTAACAACTCTAGTTTTTTTTCTTTTTGTTTTTGTTAAAAAATCATTATACATATTTCTATATATTTAATCATTGTTCTTTGTGTTGTTTTTGATGAGTTCAAATGTATTAAAAAAACAAATTTCTTTCTCTTTAGGCTCACAATCAATCCAAGAAGAAGAAGATTCTTTACACGAACAAAATGGACTTTTAATTATAAAAAAAAATACTCAATTAATATCTGAAGTTCAAGATTATCCACGACCTTATAATGCACATATTAAAGATGATATATTTCTTTCAACATCACATGGAATAGCATCATCAAGTGTTACTAACAATTATCAATTTCATAATACATTTAATCCGTCATTCCAAATTTTATTTTCTAATCCACAAAGTTTATTACGTGTTGCAAAGAGTGCTGATACATATTTTTTATCATCAAGTATATTTGCTCGTATACAAGCACGACCTAAAGCATTAATAAATCCATTTGCACCAGCCAGTATTCGAATACCAATGGCACCAGGACGACGTCGATGGGCACATACATTTCCTATGGGTAAAACTAAAATGTTAATTATTATCAAATATTGACTTAATTATCACTAGGTCCACATAAATTACCATGGCATTTTCATCATTTACGGCAAACGGAAAATAAAACAAAACAAGAAATGTCTGTTGGTGTTTCTGCATGTGTTCATCTTGTACTTCCTGGTACATCAAAAAGACTTCTAAATGGTCTTGTGTCAAAACGAACAAGACAACGTGTAAAAATACGTAGTGATTCATCTTCTCGACGTAACCGGTAAATATAAATGAATTTCAACTGTTGAGTACGATTGGTGCGAAGTTATAATAAAGCTCCTTGAAGAATTCTAAGACGCGTGATGAAAAAAATATAAACAGCAAAAAAATTTTTGTCAAAAAAGGAGGTGCCGAATAAAAAATCATGCCATTTATGAAAGATCAGACCTCGAACTACTTTCCCATGCATTGATCTTAATTTTCATCGTTTTTGACGAAAAGTTTCTTCGCCTAAAAAACCAAAATATAAAGATCTAAGAGACATTTTTTTTATGATAATGTTCAGAATCAGCATGGTCAATAACCTACAATTTACTAGTTTCCGATGAAAAAAACCATCTCTCTATACAATACAATTCTTTCACAATTGTGGGCCGCGTAAGTCAGCGACGATATTTGCTACAGGTGTGGGATACTTAGAGGCCAGTAACATATTAAAAAATCGATCAAAAAAAAAAAAGAAACCAAAGTTATTAGCCAAATATACATAGCTATAATCTCAATCGTATCAAAAATTAACAATTCTCTCATATAATTTTCTTTAGTATTATTAGTCCGTCCAATTATGAAATCAAACGTAATTCATCCGAACGAAAAGATAGTGGTAATGATGAGAATCGAACAAATGTTAGTGGTAATACGAGAAAAAAATCCGGTACCGATGGTCCAATGAAATCATCAACTTCTAAAAGTTAGTTAATTATTAAAAATCTTTTTCTTTTTATTATACAAAAATCTAATAGGAGAAAAAAAAGAAGCAATTATTTGGGGACCAACTGGTGTTGAACCATGGAGTGCATCAATGATAACTGGTATCGATTGGAAATCATTAACTATACCAGCATCACTTCCGATAACAGTTGATGTTACACCTTCAGCTGAAGAATTGCAACGTGATTATACACATAATTCATATACACTTATTCATGCTATACCACCACAAAATGAATTTGATAAAAAGAAAAAATATATTCAGAATGGTAATGTTAATAATGAAAACCAAATTCCGTAAGATTTATTTCTTATTTTATAAGATTATTTTTCTTATGAAAAAGTTTTGACTAATGTTTAGATGTGATAATATGGAACGTCAAAAAATAACTTTTGATGAATTAATTGATCAACGATTATCACAGGTAATAGATAATATGAACTTCTTTTTCTTTTTTGTAAATATATTTTATGTTTGTTTTTTTTTTGAATATCTAAGGGTTTTCAAATGATCATTGAAATTCCTGGTCATATTCATCAAAAAATGATTGAATCAATTCGACGTGCTGGTTATAAAGAAACGGAATATAATCGTTTACTAAGTATTGGTAGAATTTATCATACATTAAGTCTTGTTCGAGAAGAAAATCAATCACAAGATACTGTTGTTATTTATGTTCAACAACATAAACCACAGTTAGTAAAACAAAACTCAACCTATATAATTTCTTTGATTGATTAAATAAGAAAATTTTTATATTTTTAAGATATGTTTTTCAACCGAAACCTGTTCGTTATAAATATCGTTTTCAATGTCCAGATTCATCAGATTATGATCCAGCATGTTATCAATTACAACTTGAAAGTTTAGAGTCATTTTTATGGAATTTAGTTGATATCGTTGTTGGAAATCATGGTACAGGTGATCATAAACTATCAGATGTATGTATAAACATATATTAAAAAAAAAAAAAACAAATATTCCTTCTTGTATATAAAAGAAATAGTTAGATATAAGAAAAATATATGACCAATCTTCTTTCTGTTATATCATCTATTGATAAATAATTGCAAGAAAGCAGGATCTGTCGAATTTTCTATAGAGCAAATAGAAAAGTAGAACAAATTTTCCCGACTAGGAAAAATGAGATGAGATAAATCATTAACTATTTATTGACATTAAATCAAGACTTAAAGACGAGCAAGCTTTCTCTAGTTGTCCAGGTTTGCTCCGAGCGTCACTACAATCTACATATAGATTCTCTATATCGGTTCAAAATTTCTCTAAAGTTTTTGACTAAGAAGTCATGAGTCAATCTTCGAGAAACGCGAAAACTTATCAATATCAAAGAACTGAGAAATAGGAATTCCTAAGCTGTGGAAAACTCTAACCAAAGCATTGACTATTAGATCCCTCACAATTCTACCGGGTTACAAAAGCCAATATAATGCTTCTTCTGCGATAATTTTTATATCTCCATATTCATGTTTACAAATTCCTTGATGGATATGAACGTAAGAACAAAACATATCTTGTATATTATGTTTTTTTACTTTTGTAATCATAGAATTATAGAAGAATTGAAAACGATTTTCTATTTCTCAGCCCATGGACATCTCTCACATTTATATTGCGTAAATTATTTAAGAGAAAACACTTGGACTATTTGTCCGATAATATTTTTACTACAGAATGATATAGATTTCCTATTTGGATCTAATCTTTATCTAGTAGATCTCATTTGTCATATAGTAATAGTTATTGTATAATTATTCAAATATCTGATCTATCATTGTTACTCGAAAGAATACATTTATTCTATATTTTGTTTTTGTTCTTATTCCTAGTTAATGAAATATTGGCATACACGTCTTGTACTTATGCCTGCATCTAAAGATTATACTATAAAAAATATAGAATCTGGTCAAACAAAATGTGATAGTCGTGAAGAAATGTCACATGAAGATTTTTTTCTTTATGTTGAACATTTTGTTCGATTTTTATTTATGCTTAATAAACTTACACGATTACCTATGCTATTAAAAGAATGTTCACGTCGAGTAAAATAATTTTTTTTTGTTTATAAATTTTTCAATATCTACTAAATATTCCGTTTAGCCTCTAGATCCATTAACGGGTAAAAAACGAATGGATCCTCCAAAACGACAAGGAAAAAATTTGTAAAATTTTTCTGTCTATTATCTTATGTTATTATTTATAGTTTTTTTTTTTTTCTTTTTAGAATTCCAACTCAAATGTTTCGATTAGCTAATATAATGTCCGACGATATAAATTCAATAAATAATTTATTAAATTTATTTCAAGATGATCAACAAGGTTTATTATTTGTTAAAGATGCAGTTTTGCCAGAGTATACATTTATTGCAATTGAAGCTATTTGGTGGTCTATTGAACATGGTGATGATATAGAAAATGAACAAACAGCTACGCGTTTGTTTCAAGTAAGAAAACAAAACAAAAACATACAAATTTTATCTCTGACAAAATTATTCTTATTATTTTTTTTCTAATAGTATTTATTTACAAATGGATATATTCGACATTGTACAAATAAAGAAAATAATTTTCGTTTTGGATTTTTTCTTTATTACATCGTGACAGAAAAGACAATAAATTGTAAATATTCGTATTTGTTTGTTTTTTTTTTGAAAGATTTTAAAGTTTTTGTTTCTTTTTTTATAATTTTTAGTTCGTCTCGAATCAAATGATTATGCTGAAGTTGAATTTCATCAAACACAAACATACATTCCATCGATGGATTATTTAGGTTTTGGTGAATGTAAACCAATGCGTTTGTTACCTAAATTAATTGATAATCCACCCGTAAAACCTAAAAAACAACGATCTACATCAAATGGAATTAATTTTTCTTCTCCTTTAAATACAAATAATAGTAAAATACAAACTCCATCAATAGTTCTTAAACGTGATTGTAATGTAGATGTTGATTCAAATCATATATCAGATAGACATGAATGGGCAACAGCACATTATCATTCATTTTATAATCCGCATTGTTTATTTGAGCTTGAAATTCGTTGGCTTGTTGCAACATCATGTATACTTGGAGATTTAATTACACGATGGTCACAATGTACAGGAATGATGCTTGGATCAAATCAAGTCGCATTTCATCTTGTACCAGTTCCGTGTGATCCTTTTGCTGAATTTGATGCACTTAGAGGTATAACAAAAAAAGCAACAGTGAGATCCGAAAGTCAAGAAGAAAGACAGAAAATAACAATAAGATTAAGTGTCATCAAACATGCTTGACGCATTTGATTCCATGAATTAGATTTACATTTATAGATAATCAAACAATTAAGATAACTCTGGTGGTCAAAAAATAGAAATTTCAATTTAAGATGTTTTGTTTCATATAAGATATATCATGCATACGCACAATAATTCAACATCTTTCTACGTCTCTTGTACATTGTATCAACAAAAATAAAATATTTTAAGTTATGTATGCTGGAGATATTCAGTCAAAATTCTCTAAAAATATCAAAATACTACTATATGACATAGTAACATGCACAACCAAATAAAAAAATCAGTAGTTTTAACTACATAATTGTATTCATATGTATCGATCTGAGTGTGGTATATTTCTTTTGCATACAAAGCATAGTAACGAGAAAATACTCAGCTCATTTACAAATTGAGATTGAAAATGATTACATAAGTTTGTTTTTAACTATTGTCGATGCCAGAAAAAGAAAAAGGAAAACCACAGGTCTCTATCTACCTTTGTTCTCGAGATATTTCATTCTAGAGTTTTCCTTTTCTATTTCTGCCGTCGACAATAGTACATTAGTCGTATGAGCTAGATTAACTCTAGAAGTTCAATTACATCCCTGTAATTATTTACCAGACATGTACAACTTAATATCCGAAGAAAAGAAGCAACGATTAGTATTGATTTTGTGTCTTAAAAATATGATTTCGTCTTCATATTATCGATTCAAAATTTTTTTAGGTCCTATTTATATCAAAATGAATTCATCATGTCTACGCGATAAACTTGCGGATCTCCCCGAAACAAATCAAGTTCATCGAATAAACATCTTTCAAGAACTCATCTTACAACGGTTTGTTTAATTTTTCCCTTTACTCATGCGAAAAACCACTTGAACTGATAATCTATGTACTGATCTCATATTGAGCCGACAAAGATTTCTTCTTGAGACTAATAAAAGTCTAAAACAGTTTGTTCCGACAAATCTTTGTAATCGAATTATAATCATCTGATTAAATTTTCGACGCAGCATTTTGCCTATACATCGGCCAAGTAATCCATAGAATATCCTGAAAGTTTTAGCCCGAAAAGAATCTTTTTTCGTCGACATATTGAGTTCTCAAGTAAACATGTAATCGAAAATTCAGTAAAACGATCATAACTCGACTCTAAAGGATTACGGGAACGAAGAATTTTAGAATTTTGCTAATCTCACGAAGTTATTCTCGGGGATAGAGATGGAGGTCATTTGTTGTTTGGACAACCGTTCTCATCAATCTATATAATTTTTCTTTTTCAGTTATGGCTTTATTTTAAATGCATGTGTTAGTTATAAAAATGAAAATATTTACTATGTTCATATTAGTGGTGGTATGCTGGTTTATATTATATCCGATGTTTATAATGTTCATTATAACAGTCAAACCACACGTATTATATCAAATAGAGTTACAGCTGATAGTGAATTATCACCATTAGATTGTGGATTCTATTGGTGTTGGAATTTTTGTTTAGGAAAGAAATGGCGTAGTTCACAAACAGGTGAAGAAAAATATCAAGATATTATGTTAGCAGATTTTCGGGCATTTTGTGATAATGATAACAATCGTTTGGTTAATTTTTGGAACGAAACAAATGAGATGGCAAATAAAAAAATGACTGAAAAAGAGCAAGAATTACGTAATGAGGATTAGTTGAATATGGTCCAACATCTAGTCTTTTTCATATTTTTAAATATATTCTATATTTTATGACAGTGATTGTTATAGATTTGATTTTCGTGATAGACAAAAAGGAAAAGAAAACGAGTAAATGTTAACTGTAGCTTATAAATATATAAATAAATTATTCTATATATAAAAAGAAATATATTTCCAATGGATTTCAAAATTGAAAACAATATGTATTGTCAAAGTATGAATTTTTGATAAAATAAAGATTTTCTTTCTATTGACTAGCATAAATAAAAAAAATCTCTAACTAATCAATATCTATTCATTGACATATGTTTGCTATAAAATATTGTATTAGTGTTTAACGACTACAAGTAGTTCAAAAATTGAAAATTCCTGATAAATTATTGTGTGTTCAATAACAGAACAGAGATATGGAATGTTATTTTTCTAAATATTTTATCAAATTTTATTTTAAATGATTTAATAAATAAAAAGAACGATAAACATAACAGTTGATTTTCAGTCACATAAAATCTCTTCTTATATTAATATTGCTCTAAACAAAACGATTAATTTATTCTTACATTTATTGTTATGAATAGTTATCAAGAGCAAAATATTTCACCAAATGATAATATTTATCAGAAATATAAAGGTTTTCATTGTGATCGAATTCAAAATCAGTAGATTCAATTATGTGATCCAAGTGAAAGTCTTGACCACAATCATTAACAATTTCAATGCTTGATTTTTCTTGAGAAAGCTGTCGTATTACTCAGTGTTCATTTTTTTCAATTACATAAAATATGCTCGATTAATGAAAAGTAACTGAGAACGGATTCGATAATTAGTAATGCTATTACTCTTAGAGCCATTAGCAACAACTGAAATAATTTTTCTTCTATCATCTAATTTTATTATTTGATCGTTGGCATTATTAGCAATATTACTGGATCGATTTTGATCAAAAAAGTTCATACAAAAATCTCTCCATTAAATCAATCGATCTTACAATCAATCTGCGATGAAAATTATTTGATTTTGTTCAATAAATATTGTCTACGTTGAGACCATGTTGTCGTTACATGTGTGCCTTACCTAATTTTCAATGCTAGAAAACTCACTGAATATACACAAAGGATAATTACATACCAATTGATTCATGAAAACAAATCGATTTGCATTTCATTTCTATTTAAAAACTAACAATTTTTTCTGAATATTTCATAAATTTTTTTGAAGACGAATATGAGTGAGTCTGTGAATTTGAAGGTTAAAAATGAATAATATCCACACACTCATTGCAAGGAAAGTATTATTTGATTACCTTAGCAAGAAAAGCTATTGTCCGCACTTACGATACGTTAAGAAATGACCTATTTACCATTGTGTTATATCCCATTCAAGTAATCTTTTCCAAATAGGTCCTAAGAGAAGGATACTTCGTCAAATTTCTATCATCGGTTTCGTAGTGAGCAAGAACTACCTCGATACACGACGCCAATGTCAATGGATTGATTATTTTCTTTCCAAACATGATCTGAAAATCGGTGGCTGACAAATAACTTGTGAATCTTTGAAGAATCCAAATACTTGTCAGTGTGAAATATTTGATGTAATTTCAAATTGTTGAGTAGAGTTTTTTTTTGTTAATATGTGAGAAATTCGTGAATATTATTTCAGAAAGTATGAATGATTCGTAAACATGTGACTGTTGATATATTAATCATTGATTAGATGTACATCATCTTATACAGAAAATTATTGCCATACATTTCTGCCATCTCATGTTACGAGATTAAATAAAGATTTTTTCTTGCATTCTTTCTTGACGATACATCACACTGATGATTTCTGTGGCACAATGCAACATTAAAAAGAAGAAGAAGAAACGTTGGCAACATTTTCTTTTCTGTTACCAGTAAGCATGCTTCAGTATTTTTTAGTTTTTTGATATGTTCTAAAAACGAATATTACTGCTCAGATGATTAAATCTTGATGATCACAAAGGAAGTCAACTATTTAGCCAACATGTTTGATATGTTCAAATTCAACAACCTCAATATATTTATATTCTTGTACAAATTGATGAACAAAATCACTAAGTAACGATGGAAAAGAGAAAAGTAACTTTTATTTTTCTTTCTTTCCTCACCCGTTAACAATGCGCACACACATACGGTAGTCATGCCAATGACAATAGTTTTTATTCAAAAAAAAGTTCACTGAACTATATGTTAAATCTCTTTTTTTTTCAGACAATATGACCGAAGAATTGATTATGGATACTATTGATCTGCCAGAATGTATTCCAACAATGGTTCCAGATAAATCTGAAACATCAGCATATCAACATTTGATAGATGAACTAGAGAAATTACAAACTCTGCCAACAAAAACCGCTGAATTGAAGAAAGAAATGTGGTCACAATTCTTAGCTCTGTGGTGCCAAATTCTTCAGACTTCTCCGTCTGATGCTCAATCATGTTACGAAAAATGTGCTGCTATTCTACCTCGTCTATTCAAAGAAGCTAATTTTTATTTCATTCGAAAAGATGTGAATATTGCTCGAGAGAACTGTTTTGCATGCATTTCTCAACTCAATCATCCGAATATGAGATATTTTCTTCAGTTACCAACCGAACAACAGGATTTACCAGAGAATAAGATTTATCACCAACATATTTACTATCTTTTACTGATTGCTACACAAACAATTTCATTTCTGCCATTCGCAACGATCGACGATCAACAATTTATTGAAAATCATTCAGAACTTTATAGTCTTTTAATTGAACATATAGAACAAAGCATGCCCGAACATTGTGAAACAGTGATAGAAAAAGAACACAATTTAGGCACCATCAATTCACGTAGTCTTAGTTTACTTTGGAATACAGCTGATCGAACTGTACTTGTTCCGATATTGTTGAAATGTGATCTAGCCAAGAAAGTTATGGGCTGGCTTGCTCAATCGGCTAAATTGACAGACACTGGTCGTCGACCTCTAATCAGTATCGTTCATAATATTGCTCGACATGATGATGGAGCCGATGAACTCAACAAATACGGTGCGATCGACAAAATCAAAGAATATAAAAAGATGTAAGTTCATAGAAGGTGTATTTCGATTTCATCTTCTGTCCATTCTCTAGTACACTAGAGAAAACAGATTCACGAGTTTTGACTACTTTGATGGCTTTGGCTCTTCTCTCCACACCTGAAGAACTCAAACGTGATAAGAAAGGCATGAATATTGTACTTAATCAATTACTTCAGCTTGTTATCGATGCTGCCAAAGGTGATCGATATCGACGTGATGGTTTTCATGTTAGTGAACCATTAGGTGTCTTAGTAAAAATGTTTGTTGTTGAAGAACGTACGCTGGACTATGTCTTGTGTCATGCAGAAACGCACCCACCATCGGATATTCACTCAACAATTCGTTTATTCGCATCATTACTCTTCAAATTTGCTGATGCATTAAAAGGAACAGATCGACTCGAACAATTTACATTGATAGCTTTATTAAATATTTTCTGGAGTATATCATTTCAAGAGATTTATGCATCAGAATTAATTCAAGATCAAGAATTAATAGTAACAATTCAAAAACTCGTCGAAAATGATCAAGGAGAAGAGATTCTCGAACAATACAAACCACGATCAATGGAAGGTGTTAAAGAAGCAGCACATGGTATTCTACATAATCTTAATCGAGACAATAAAAATGAGATGATAGTCGATAAAAAGAGTACTTCTATCGATGCTCTCGTTTCGAATCCAATCGAAGAGTAAGAAAATCAATTTTACGGATCTGCTAATATCGAAATTTGATTTTCTAGAATACAAAGGAAACCATCAATTATGATTAGTTATTCTCATGGAGATAATATTTTTTGCAACAAAGTACTTGATTTATTAACTAAACATAGTGATGTCTTTGAGATATGGATCGATCGAACACATTGTCAAGGAGTTGAAGATTTATGGGAGTCGATTGCTGATGGTATGGAACAAGCATCTATCATTGTATGTCTTCTTTCAAGTCAATATTTTGAAAGTAAATCATGTCGAAAAGAATTTATCTATGCTACGGATTCACTCAAGAAAAAAATTGTACCTGTATTAATTGAGAATTTCGAACCGAAAGGATGGCTTGGTGAGTTAAGAAAAGAAAATCATTTCTCGACTCGATTTGTATTCATTCGTTAAA